TGCTCGTGTTCCATGGCATCTCCTTCCTCCCAGCTGCGCCGAGAGCGTCTGAACCCACTCGTGCTTCACGCCATTCCCCTCGTCTGAGCTATGCTGAGAGATTCTGTATGTGGGACCTCCTCGTCAACCTCCTCCTGGAATGGCCAAGATGGCCACTGGAGGCTGAAAAGCGGGGTACTCTTTGATTGTGGGGCCTATTTCTGTTCCCTTGTTTGATCACGTCTCTTTGCAGAGTTCCTCTGGGCAATGTCCACTGAGTCCTTAGATGCCTTTGAGGTGCAGTGGGTGCTGTCCAGGGTTCTCTGCTTGGGGTCCCATTCTGGTTCCTTGATTTTCAACCTTTGACCTCACTTCTGTTCCTGTTTTTTCATTTGTTGCCCCATTTACTCACCTGTGGCCTGGGCTTAGCAGTTCTTCCCCATGAGGGCCTTTGGTTTTGGGCGGACCTAGATGTGCCTGTCCCATATCTGCAAATAATACCCTTTCTCCCAGTCATGCCTGTTCCCCCTGCCTCTTCCCTTCTGGTGTCCTGCCCATTCCCCTTAACTGCATCCACCCCTGTCTGTGCCCAGCCCTTCCTCTGTCATGGCCCTCCTCTTTTAGTTCATATCAGCATTAGGTTAGTAAGTTTGGCCCTTTGGCTAGTATATGTCCAGTAAATTTTCCAAGCTCCTATCACATCCTCAAGCTCATCTCCTAGAAGTGCAATATATAGGCACTCGGGTATGAAATTGATATGGGGGTAGACTTCTGTCTTGCTTAAGGGTGCACATTGGTTGCTGATTTGGGTGAAGTTTTGGGAGGTGGGTGAGGAAAGGAGTTGATGGGAGATGCGGCGTTGACTGACTTAACGGCTTGTTCCTTTGCATTTCACAGTTTGCACTGGTGGATATGCAGTCTAGCAATCCAATCTCATAGCTGACAAAGATTTTGCGTGAGCTTTAAACTTGAGAAGGTTCTTGCCTTGTACATATGTATCTGATAACTCCTAGTGAACCCCAACCCTGAAGGTAGTGTCCTACAAGGTATGAAGTGTCACTTGAGAAGATGATGAGTCCCTGTATGGAGGAACCCAACTAAAAGTGTTCTAATTCTGAATGAAATACTTTTTTGTAGGTGGGAGTGGGAGCACAACCTATAGCTAGGATTGTCCAACAGTTCCCATTATAGGATCCCATTTTCAGTTCCTTATA